GCCAGGAAAAGTACCAGACGCCTCAATCGCTTACCCGTCAATATCATTGCAAGGAGAGTATGTACTCCCGCTAACAGTGTGGAGTACTAATTAAACATTCCAGTAATGTTACACACCACTAGATCAGTTTTTTTTGTAACTTGCTGATACTATTTTGCACATACAAAACAATTATCCCCCTTTACAAACATATACAAAAAAAACCACAGTGCTCAACTTTAAGCACTTCAATTTGCATATATATATAATAATTATACACAAATACATAACAATTATCTCCCTTTACCAATATATACAAAGAAAACAAATTTGGATATACCATATATACAAATTTGTATATTTTTGTATATGTCGTATATACAAACTTGTATATTTTTGTATATATCATCATTCCAATCTTGTATATCCTTTGGAAATATCATCTTTCCAAAGGATATACAAGCTTGTATATATGGATTTTTTTTTTGCAGTGAATGAGTACTTGTGCCTTTTGCTAGTTTGAAGATTCTGATTTCCATGGAAACATTAGAAACTTAAACTTTTAGGGTGGGTGTTTTGTACGGCCTGTATCTTTTTAACCATGCACCCACCCTAGCTTCACTAAACTTTCTACACACATTAACCACAATGAGTACTTGTGCCTTTTGCTAGTTTGAAGATTCTGAATTTTTGAGTTTTTGCCGTTTCCATGGAAACATTAGAAACTTAAACTTTTATGGTGGGTGTTTTGTACGGCCTGTATCTTTTTAACCATGCACCCACCCTAGCTCCACCAAACTTTCTACACACATTAACCACAATGAGTACTTGTGCCTTTTGCTAGTTTGAAGATTCTGAATTTTTTAATTTTGCCGTTACCATGGAAACATTAGAAACTTAAACTTTTAGGTTGGGTGTTTTGTACGGCCTGTATCTTTTTTAACCATGCACCCACCCTAGCTTCACCAAGTTTCTACACACATTAACCACATTGAGTACTTGTGCCTTTTGCTAGTTTGAAGATTCTGATTTTTTTTATTTTTGCCGTTTCAATGGAATCATGGTGAACATGGTGAAACATAAATTTTGGGTAGAGTTTTTATTGTGCGATCCATGTTTACAATATTATCTATCCTAGCTTCAGCAAACTTGCTACATGAACCGCTATGATTTTTTTTTTTTATCTTTTATAACATTCTGAAAGTTTTGTCTTTTGCTGTTTGGATGGTTTTGTATAGCTAATATATTTTCAAAAATTGTTTCCCCACATGTAGATCATCATAAGTATCTGTGCTTTGTGTGTGTGTGTAAGGGGGGGGGGGGGGGGGGGGGGGGGGGATTGTCACTGGAACTCAATCTTTGTTTTTAAAAGTTAAATTAGTTAAAATCAGTTAGAAATATGTAATATTTCATCACTTAACAAACTATTTACTATTTGTTGTTGACCAGGGGGGATAACGGGGATATGTGAGCTTTGTTCACTTCTTTCTTGTTGTTCCTATTGCAAAGCCTGGACGGGATCATACAGATCCATCCAACTACCGTCAAATATCATTAACTAGCTTTGTTTGTAAAACCACGGAGCGCATGGTCAACAATCTATTAGTCCCGCTCGTGTTGACCAATAACACCTGTGTGGTTTCCGAAAAAAACAGAAGTACAATTGATCATTTGGTGCGTTTAGAATCGTTTATTAAAGCTTCCATTGTCAACAAAAAACATGCTGTATCAATCCTTTTCGATCTAGAGAAATGATACAACGGGTATGGTGCTGACAAACCAAGAAACATAATCGGGGCGAACCGGGATTCGAACCCACAATCATAGATTGCTGGCATGCCAAAAGGATTCAACTCAGAACAGCGAATCGCGGTGCCTTAGAAGACTGGGCCACGAGTGCTCCCCTAGACCAGTGAAACGTGTGACTACTTCAGACTTAAAATACACCTCACAGGGTAATTTAAATAGTTAAATATTGTAGCGGAGACATGTCCCTGAGATAACCAATTGCCGAGGTATTTTGTAGTTTAAAGCATGCTCAAAGTGTGTACCTGCAACAATGCGTTTTGTTTTGTTACTCAGCAATATACCAGCCATATCACAGCGATCTGTAAATAATCAAGTCTGGACCAGACAGTACTCAGCATACACAGGACACTTCCAATGGTCTGTGGTTAAAAACGATCTCTCTCGCCATATGTTACTGATTGCCTTATGTCACTAACGAGCACTTGTGTTACCTAACCACTGAAATAAAGGTTGTTTTGGGCCAATATGGTAATTTTCCAGTCACCTATGACAGATCATTTCGGAGCGTATAGAGAAATAGGATAAATCTAAATCTTGTCAAACACCATTTCAAGGGTAATGAAATATGTATAATCTAAGACCAACATTTACGATTATTTCACACGTTAGAAAATACAAGAAAACGATAGGCATATTTACACGTTTCATCGATACTGAACCGCTAAAAAACGTCACCATGGATAGATATATGAGAAACCTTATTTGTCCAAACACTGTAAACATACTTTGAGACAAGTTAAAAAGATGAAACATGGCAAAACTGATCATCAACGTTGAAATTAAAGTGTCAAATGTTCTTAAAGGGAAACACAACACAAGAAACGCAAGAAAATTGCATCACAAGTCAGTATCTCGTGTGTCCGCCATGTGCATCGGTGACTGCCGTGCAACGTCGATACATGGAATGGATGAGGCGGTTGATGAAGGCCACAGGCACTTGAAAAGCTCTGAGTAATGTCTGACACAGTTCAGCTGCAGTTGTCAGCCTTGGTCGGACGTCATTCAGCCGTCTTTGAATCTCGTCCCACAGGTCCTCAATGGAATATAAATCGGGACTAAGGGCAGGCCACTGCATGGTTCTGATGCCATTCTGCTTGAGGAAATCTCTTGTTGCTCTCACAGTGTGGGCACTGTATTTGAAACAAAGTCATTTCTTCAGATCCTTTTCAGTAAGTAGTGTATTTGAGTGAACCAACTTACAATTTCACTTTAATATATACACATGCACAAAAGTTAAGCGCCACCATATTCATAGTCTCTTGATTTCAAGTGCGGGAATCAGAAATACGAAATATGACGATGTATGACTGAATTAGGCTTCCATAGTTTCATAACCCAAATTTGAACATGAACACGTGGTTGCATGTTGCTCCTACGTGAAATTCCCCTTCCAATAGAGGTTGAAAATCAGCCATGGTGAGGAGAAAGTTAAGTAACGCTGAAAGATGGCAAGTGATAGGCATGAAAAATGCTGGCATGTCATGCAGGGCCATTGCAAGACAAATGGGTCGTCATCACAGTGTTATCACTCGTTTGATTGTCAAACATGGTCAAATCAATGATGTCAATGACAGGCATAGGTCTGGTAGGCCAAGAAAGACGTCCAACAGAGAGGATAGACGTCTCTTCAGGATAGTCAGACGAAATCCATTTTTAACAGATTTAAGACTGCAGTGGATTACCCACCAGAGACTCTCGACGGTGGCCGTAAGGCGTCGCCTCGGAGCGGCTGGTTTTATGCCAGAAGACCAGTAAAACTGACTGAGAGGCACATGCGGAATCGTCTGATATGGTGTCGTGCCCGTAGTCGATGGAACTTGGCCAACTGGAGAAGGATCCATTGGTCTGACGAGTGTCGAATGCTGCTACAAACTGTTGATGGTCGACTACGTGTTTGGAGGCAACGTAACACTCGTTTTGCACCAAGGAACATCCAGAAGAAATTAGCATGTGGCGGGGGGTCTGTCATGATATGGGGTTGTGTATTGGATTACCCATCAGAGACTCTTGACGATGACCGTAAGGCGTCGCCTCAGAGCGGCTGGTTATAACGACAGAAGACCAGTAAAACGTGCTCAACTGACTGAGAGGCACATGCGGAATCGTCTGATATGGTGTCGTGCCCGTAGTCGATGGAACTTGGCCAACTGGAGAAGGATCCATTGGTCTGACGAGTGTCGAATGTTGCTACAAACTGTTGATGGTCGACTACGTGTTTGGAGGCAACGTAACACTCGTTTTGCACCAAGGAACATCCAGAAGACCTTAGCATGTGGCGGGGGGTCTGTCATGATATGGGGTTGTGTTTCCTTCGGCGGCAAACTTCCGCTGTTGACAATTCGTGGAAACCTGAATGGCCAACAATACCAAGATTCCGTTCTTCGTCCAGTGGTAGTCCCTCATTTTGACAACCATCTTCTTCAGATAAGACCTGATTACATGGACGACAATGCTAGACCACACAGATCTCAGGCAGTTTTGGCTTATTTGCGTCAAGAATCTATTGCCACTCTTCCTTGGCCGGCCTGTAGTCCAGATCTTAATCCGATTGAGCAACTCTGGGACATTCTTGGCCGGAAAATCAGACATCATGATCCCCTGGACTTGAAGCCGCACTTCATGAAGGTTGTACTGAATATGAGGCGTAGGGTTGAAGCTGTGGTCAATGTCCGAGGGTTATACACACGTTACTGACGTTTCTGTCTTGCAATAGACTGTGCACTCCCTAAGGTGTCTATGTGACATCTGATATGGTCTGCTGATATCATGACAGTTACATGACGAAAAAAGATTTTAAACGTTTTCTAATCCTTCAATTTCTGGTCTTCGGTAAAATTCCTTTCTGCTCATATTCTTTTTGAACACAAGATAAACTTGCTTTGGGACAACTTTTGCATTACAAGAGGTTTACATGTACGGCTTATAACAATCGTATATCTCGTTACAGTAGTCATCATTTAGAGCCAAAAGTAACAGCTCACAAATTTGGTGGGTGGCACTTAACTTTTGTGCATGTGTATATATTCACTGGATTGTTGTGTTAGCAGTAATTTATTTGCAGTTTCATGATGACTTCACACCTTTAAAAAAACACTATTGTCATTCATTATTCGTCCATGTTAGGAATTACACAGTATTGCTTACGTAGGGATGATAAATGATGACGTTAAATGTATAGCCATCACAAACACATGCAAAGGCAAGTCAAGCATTCACCTGAAAAGAGGATACAACCTATATCATACTATATAGCATTGTGAATTGTCAGTTATTTGTGAATGTAATCATTCATTTTGTTGTTGAAGTGAGTGACTTTCTGTGTGATGCGTATGGGGTTCAGAATGACAGCACTTGCATAACGATCGCACAGTTGCAATATGTATGTGGGGGGATATTGGGCGGGGGGTTGGGTGGGGCAGTCAAAGGGTCACCCTTTTCAGGCAATTATTTGGCTACATCGCCCTATCTGCCTGATACTGCAATGAGATTCATATAACATATCAATCGGTGAAGGCTAAACATGTATATCTTTTCTTTTAAATATTCCATCCAATATCTTCATACGATATATGTAGGACATGGTCACCAACAAATATATAGAACCGGACTAATTCAAGTTAGGTTCGAAGTGGTGTGTTCCTGGAACAAACAAGTGCACTCAACTACCAGATTTTTCTTCTCCGACGACAGAGGTGCTCAAAACGTGGCAAACAGATTGTACACTTGAGGACACATTTTACTCAGGGTTCCCAATCGCACTCGACCATTAGTATTATTGCTTTTCAGTATCCACAGTAGGATGTAAGCTCTTGCTTTAATGCGGCATTTATGACCAGATCGGGAATGTGTGGTCTACAATGTGCTGAACGCCTAAGGGCCTTTGGCATGGTTTGAACTGGTTGAACTCAACAATAGGGTGACAATGAGTTCAGTGGGTATCGATCTGTGATTTGCAGACTTTGGAACAGAAACAGAACATTCTAGACGGGGTGTTTCGAGCGTATAAAATGGTGGAATTGCCGGGGATCTCGTTCAGTCTCAGATGAGGTGGGGTGAAATTGGGTTTAACGTCGCGTCCAAGATTTTTGAACTTATATAGCGACGTGCATGCAAGTGTGTGTTGTATTCCTGTAATCATCTCTTTTAATATTCCCTTCATTTCCGGGAGAGTACATTAGGTGACCATATTTTTAAATTTTATGAGTTAAAGTTACCTGATATTATTCATAGTTCTGTCAACGCGCATTTTGACAGGGAATGAGCTCTTGGGGAAATAAAGGACAAAATCGTCATCACTGTCCTGCTCGAGGTCGTCCCTACTCCTGCACTCGGAATACCAAGCTTGAATGACACCGTGTAATGGTAACACATATATACTAATGAACAACAATGGACAGACAATGATGTTGCTCTTGACATGGGACTTCTGGGGGTGATGAACCGACACAGCTCAGGGAATGAACAGTTAAGGCAATAAATGTCATACTATAAATAACAGTAATTAACGGGAAGTGATATAGTAGCCTAGATTGGCTGCCAGTCAATATACAATGAAACGTTGGTGAGGATTAACAACGGAGATTAGCGCCTAATACATAATGACAATTAAGTAATTAGCCTTTTAAATTAAATGTTCTCCAGACATTGGTTGTCGTAAATCAGTCGCTATGACAGTACTTTGAACAATATCTAACATATTGTCAGTGTAGAGGCAAATAAAAAAATTTTTCTATGCAACAATGAACCACAGTGCATTCGAATTAAGAGTATGCCAATTGTGTATTATTAATGATAATTGTTATTGCGATATTACTTCACTTGAGAGACTTGTGACAGTAGATTTGTTATTGATAAGTAACCGTATTTCTTAGCTATCATTGCTGCATTCAATCCCTTCTTATTTATTGCAGTTATATCTACCATGGCATGTGACAACACACATTTCACAATGTCCTTATTTCCTTTTGACAGACCAAATGAAGGACATTTTCCCCATAAGTATTTACTACTGACATATCAGCTCCTCTCTCCGTCAGTAAGTCAAACGCACCTCTTGTCCCCGATTGTGCTGCAAGTAACACCGCTGTCATCCCTTCATTTTGTTTACTGTTGATGTCCACAATGTTTTGCGTGAGGACATACTTCACTATCTTTTTATCTTCTCCGTCACAGGCCAAATGAAGAATATTTTTACCATAAGTGTTTACAACTGACACATCAGCTCCTCTCTCCGCCAATAAGTCAAACACATCTCTTGTCCCCGATTGTGCTGCAAGTAACACCGCTGTCATACCTTCATCTTCTTCACTGTTTAAGTCCACAATGTTTTTTGTGTGGATATATCTCACGATCTCCAAATTTCCTTTTTCACAGGAACGATGAAGGATATTTTCCTTGTAATCATCTACCTTTGTCACATCGGCTCCTTTCCTTACCAGTAATTTAAACACTTCAGTGTGCCCCAAGAGTGCTACATACAGCAATGGTGTGGCCCCACCCAACAAATCACAGTTGATGTCCACCTTGGCTAGGTTGAGGACACACTTCACTATATCAACATCTCCACCTTTGCAGGCATATTCAAGGAGTTCCGTACTGTCATGTGATTGTGCGATATCAGCTCCTCTCTCTATCAATAACTGAAACAATTTACTCGTCCCTGACATCGCTGCCAGCATTAATGGTGTCTTCAAAGCGTACGTTCTACTGTTTATATCGACAATCTTGTGTGTGAGGACATAATTCACTATCTCTACATCTCCTCCTCGACTGGAAAGATGGAGGATATTCTCACCGTCCTCATTCAATTTTGATAGATCAGCTCCTATTTTCACAAGAAAAAACAACACTTCCATCTTTCCAAATAGTGCAGCAAACATCACCGGTGTATTCCCGTAGTCCCCTCTACTTTCAATGTCAATGATGTTCTGTGAGTGGATATACTTCACTATCTCCACGTTTCCCTCTTTAGAGGCCACATGTAAGATACTGTTGTCATCATCATCTAATAGACACAGGTCAGCACCTTTCTTCACAAGTAATTCAAGTATCTCTCTGTGTCCTTTCTGTGCTGCTATCATCGCTGGTGTCATACCTTTCTTCCCTCTTTTATTGATGTTTGCAATATCTTGAGACAATATGTATTTGACTTGAGGCAGGTCTCCAACGGTGCAGGCATCGATGAGAGTGGTGATAACAGTTGTCTGTCGTTGTGCTTGATTATGTCCCCCTGGAAAATGACATGCAGACATGACACAATGTTTAGGGTTCACTTTTCATCTGTTACTAATGTATCTTTAACAATAAATGTCGGTAAGTAACTTTGATTGTTTCTTTGTTGTTTTATGCCGCACTCAGCAATATTCCAGCCATTTGATGGTGGTCTGTAAATGGAACAGACAATAAAGTGATAGACATCATGGGCAGCGATCTACGCAAATGAGATACGATGACGTACATCATCTAAATCAGGCAGCCTAACCTCCCGATCCCGTCAGTTGCCTCTTACAACTAAAAAAGTCGCCTCTTGCGGCGTAAGTACCTTTGACACAGGCAGTCGTTCCAGCACGAGTCTCTAGGCATCTGCTCCCTTGACAAGTGTTGAATGCACAGACGCCTGCTCGGACCTGAAAACAGATGTTAGGGGACATTCGGGATTAAGTAATTTTAGTAAGTAATAACACGGTGTAATTTTGACTATCATTATTTGATGTAAAACCAGAAAATGAATTTGGTCTGACACTGCTTGAATTATAGTTCAGTTGACGTGACTGACTAAACGGCAGTTCAGAGATATGCAAATGATTTGAACCCAAGGGACGCAACAGCGAATTGTGGCGCCTTAGACGACTGAGCCACCCATGACCCCTAAACTTAATGAGGACAAAACAGGATTCGAACCGACGTCTTACTTAAAATATCCATAATGAAGCTCCTTTGAATTTACAAGCGCAATAGTAGTAAGATAGCAGTCTTTTTCCAGTAGTGAATGGCAGCATATAGAAAACTGTATGAGCCCATGGAACATGATAGATATGAAAATGGTTTGTTTATCGTAAGACCTTCACTTCACGTTCATATATATGGTGCAGTGATACTGCTATGCACTTTTCTTTTTACGAGAAGCAGATGATTGTAGGCATTGTGTACAAATCTTACATTTGAAAGACGCGTAGGTCCAATGTAGTGTCCGGTCTCTTTCATAAACACTTCTGAGTCCATTTCTGATAGGTGACAAGTTAGATTCTCAATGTTGTATCGAATACCACGACAGCCATACTGTATACACTTGTATTGACATAACTTGACGCCAATGTTCATGAAGCTTATAGAATCTACCAGCTGTCCGAATACCAAGCAAGCTGCTAACAGGCGACGGATGTTGAGCGTCCATTTCTTAATTGTCATGCTGAAAGATGTATACGAGATACACAACTGACAGCCCTGGTTCGGGGATTTCAGGTTGTACAGATTAAAGTGTCAGGCCAAGTCGATTAGCACTAGCGTCGATGAGGGTAAGGAGAACAATGGTGGCTATTGGCTCTCACATATCAACCAGGTATCCACCCCAAGTTTGATAGCTTTCTTCGCATCTTAAGATGATATGTTATCAGTGGTATTCAAATGAATTAGTAATGTCAATGAATGGTAAAAATAATTCGATGTATAGTCTATCACAAATCAGTGAATTCAAAATTGATTATGCACAGCTTGGGCAATTTAATAATTGACTTCAATGTTTGTTTACGTATTGAAGTATTAGCGTAAACAGACATGCGGACTGTGTCAGCCTGTATACACATACCTCCATTAAACCGAAATACTAACAAATACTAACACAAGCCCCACCTAAGCCATTATCAGGCAAACAGGAAACAGGAGTCCGTTAGCGGGCGTGTCCAAATACTTTTAAGGTTTAGGGCGATATTAACACAAAAGACATTGCAGGGCTAGCAGACAGACTGTTCTAACTAATCCTCATGTTGAGACGAATACGTTTTTGAAAAAATATATCACCAAAATAGTTGTCTTGACATTGTTGTTGATATCCCTAGTTCGCCCTGTACACTCATAATCCCACTCATACGGTGGAGGATGACCAAATTATGGAAACACAACATGTTCATGCACCTGAAACACAAATGTCAAAACGTATAGTGTCATCCTGGGTAAGTGGGTCAATTTAAATGTGCCTCTGTTCACCCACCAGAGAATGGATACCCAATATGTGAGGGCGATATGAAAACGCCAGTCGGCAGCTTGGTTTGCATACTCCCCAAGGAGTTGAAAATGTAAACTGGAATGCTTACAGATCTACTGGTTGGAGAAGAAATACATGAGTGAGTGAGTGAGTTAAAAATTTAAGTCACATCGGCAGTTTTTTAGCCATATCGTGACTATCAAGGTTTAAATATAATACATCAATAGTTAAGCATAATCAATACAATTAAATTTATATTTTAAAAAAACCTGCCAGTAAAATAACTAGACTTATCACAGAAATATATTTAAAGCTGGTATGTAATCATAAAATCATATTAAGGGGGCACGGTTGCCCAAGTCGTTTAAGGCGCCGCGCTAAACTGTGCAGAGTTGCGCCCCTTGGGCACGCCAGCAACCTATGATTGTGGGTTCGAATCCCGGTTCGCCCCAAGTATGTTTCTAGTTTTGTCAGCACCATACCCGTGCTCTAGGGTTTCACCGAAGTGGTAAACGTCTTAGACCTGCATCACTTCGGGCTTTCCTCCCACATTAAGCTGACACCCGCGATATAACTGGAATAATGTTAAAAGTGGCATAAAAACATTAGCATAATACATGACATGCATTATAATAACGGGCTATAAGATCGCCAGCAACTGATCACCATACTTGGGACCATGGGGACTAACAGTACTTTAGCTTCCTGCATGGACTCCAGACGGATTTATATCTTGCCTTCAGGTGTTGGCGATTATTGACAATTTTATCCAAATTAAAAGAACATATAGTCTACGATTTAAACTGTAGTTGAAATTACATACTTTGAATAATATGGACTTACGATACCCTCCATGGGACAATAATTTTACACTACTTTAACCCCCTTTGAGGATACAGCCACGATCAATCACAGATATTGATTTATTCCACTAGTGCTTGAAAGTAATTTATTTTATACAAAACAAATTTATAACATTCATTAAACAGTTTTTTTCTTTTATAAAGCCAATAATTAAATGAGAACTAACAGTATTAAAACGATCCTTCAGCAATAAAACCTTGAAATATTTATCCCTTGTGGTGGAAAAATCAACACAGTCAAGCAGGACATCACAAGGGATGCAGAACTGAGGATCCTCACTTTTTTAACAAAAACTCATTTGTGTAGCGAGAATGGCCAATACGACATCGTCTGAAAGTGACCTCTTCATATCTGGACTGACAACCCGAGTAGGTGTAACCGATATTTGGTTTAATGTCATGTAATTTATTTATACCTACTTGGGTGTCCCACTTCTTTTGCATGGGGCGGTCGGGTAGCCTAGTGGTTAAAGCGTTCGCTCGTCACGCCGAAGACCCGGGTTCGATTCCCGACATGGGTACAATGTGTGAAGCCCATTTCTGGTGTCCCCCGCCGTGATATTGCTGGAATATTGCTAAAAGCGGCGTAAAACCAAACTCACTCACTCACTCACTCACTTCTTTTGCATCAGATCTCGGATATACGATCCAGTCACAGGCTTGTAATCAGTGCATGGACTAAGAAGTGGTGTCACAGATCTGTTGAGCGCTGCTTTAGCTGCAGCATCAGCCATTGTGTTACCTATGATGCCAACATGACTTGGTAACCAGGAAAAAACGATGTCGTATTGGCCAGAGCAAGTTCATTGTACAATTCAGGAATTTCGATTAAAAGTGAATGTTTGGTCGATTGATTTGTTATTGCCTGAAGACAGGACGGAGAGTCGGAAAGTATAACACATTGTTTATGCTTTGATTGCTTACTAATGTATTCTAGTGCTGTTAATATCGCCCGAATCAAGTTTAGAGCGGACGAGGGCTCTGTACAGTTGGGGGGAGGGGGGGGGGGGGGGGGGGGGGGATTTTCTTATCTCCTCCCAACTTTCCATTTGAAACTTCTTTTATTAAATCGAGAGCCTTTAGTCTTTAAAGAATTTATGTGTGGCAGAAAGGTCAAGTAACGGTCATAAATAATACCAAGAAACTTGGCCTCTTTAACAACGTTGAGAGGAGCACCATCCAAAACAAGATCAGGGTCCTTATTCTGCTTATATTTCCTACAAACATGAATGCAGTTGGTCTTGGCTTTTAAAAATTTAAAACCATTTTAAGAGGCCATTTTTGGATTATATTTAGGCATAATTGTAGCTGCCTTCCACTCGCATGCATATTTTTATCACTACCAGAAATATTGAAATATTCCACAAATAAGGATCCATCAAGTGTATCGTTTAAAACCTTTGATAAACTGCTCATCTTTACGCTAAACAATGTTACAGACAAGATACTGCTTTGTGGGACACCCTGATACTGAACGCAATGGTCAGACAAGGTTGAACCCACACGAATTTGAAATGGTCTATTTTATACAAACACTGAGATATAAATAGAGGCAAACGGACCCTTAAACAAAATCCTGTCGATCTTTTAAAATACCATACTGCCATGTGGGATCTCGCAACGTACTAAATGTAGTAAACGTACTAAATCATCGATGGCACTACGAAAACACATTGAATATTAGTAATGGGATTGTTGGTTTCCAAGTACCAAACTAAACGATTATTTATCATACGTTCCATAGTCTTACAGACGCAGCTGGTAACGGATATTGGCCTGTAATTGGAGAGATCGTTATGATCTCGACCAGCATAGGTATAGGAATGACAGTAGCATTTCGCCATAATGATGGAAAATTATCAGAAGTCCAATATTGTCAAAGATTTTAGGCATTGTTTCTAAACACGATTCGGGTAAATGTTTAAGGAGTTGATAAGGAATATAATCTGGCCCTGGAGCAGTATCATGAGTTTGCCCAAGGGCGGTATGGAGCTCATTAATGGAAAATACTTCATTATAATCCTCACCATTATCTGAGTTAAAATTAAGCTTCTTTTTATCTTGCTGTTACTTAAATTTCTGAAAGTCAGGTAGAGAATTGGATGATGAGGAATGTTGAGCTATTGTTTCACCTAATGTATTAGCAATATGACATTTATCTGTTAGACGAATGTCACCCTCCTTCAGATGGCAAACACTGGAGTTGGACCCTTTCCTTTAACTTTCTTAACCATACGAAACCTTTGAAATAGGTGTTCGTGAATTAACATACTTTTGCCATGACTGTCGTTTATTTTTCTTAAATGAGCGACTAGATTTGGCGTTTGAAATTATAAATTGATTTAAGTTATGAACTGTTGAATGGTGATGAAGATATTCTTCTGCCTTCTTCCTATCCTTTCTAGCAAGTTTGCAGTCCATGTTAAAACCATGGTTTATGGAAATGAGGAACCGTAGAGGACTTTGGGATACATTCATCAGCTGTTATGTTTAATTAGTCAAAAAGAAAAAAAGTGAATAGGGTCATTACCATTTAGACATAATTAAGGCCGTAATCTTTCAGAGCATATTGTATGAAATAAAGACCAATCGGCCTTTGTAAAATTCCATCTTGATGATGATGGTGGAGCATCTGTTGGATTTATGGTTGTAATTACAGTAGGAAAGTGGCCACTTCCATAAAGTTCATTGTTGACTGACCTTTCCAATTCATTAAACAGATTGAGCTATTGTTTCACCTAATGTATTAGCAATATGACATTTATCTATTAGACGAATGTCACCCTCCTTCAGATGGCAAACACTGGAGTTGGACCCTTTCCTTTAACTTTCTTAACCATACCAAACCTTTGAAATAGGTATTCGTGAATTAACATACTTTTGCCAAGTTTGCAGTCCATGTTAAAACCATGGTTTATGGAAATGTGGAACCGTAGAGGACTTTGGGATAAATTCATCAGCTATTATGTTTAATTAGTGAAAAAGTGAATAGGGTCATTACCATTTAGACTTAATTAAGGCCGTAATCTTTCAGAGCATATTGTATTTGTAAAATTCCATCTTGATGATGATGGTGGAGCATCTGTTGGATTTATGGTTGTAATTACAGTAGGAAAGTGGCCACTTCCATAAAGGTCATTATGGACTGACCTTTCCAATTCATTAAACAGTTGGCATCTGCAGCAGATAAATCCAGAGAAAGTATGAGCGAGTTGCTTACTGCATAGTTGCATGGGTTAGAGCCATCATTAAAAATACATAAATCATTATTTGAGAAAATAACCTCAAGTTTGTTCCTTGAGTTCCTCAATCCTCCTTCTATTGGTTATATTGCTGCCCCAAAGTGGAGTATGGCCATTAAAATCTCCCATAATAATGCAGGGTTGAGGGAGTTGGTCTTAAAGGGCATGAAGATCTCACTGACGTAAAGATGATGATGGTGGAATACAGAGTGAACACATAGTAAAAACAATATGCAGCATAACAAGGACTGCAACTGCCTAAAGAGGGGTATTGAGCGGAACAGGGCTATGAATGGTGCTCAGACGCACCAAAATAGAAGATCCTCCAGTAGCCCTCTCAACAGGAGGAGAGAAGCAATGGTGGGAATCATAATGTCTGAAATCAAATGTATCTGTAGATGTTAGGTATGTTTCTTGCAACATAAAGCTGATGGAGTGTAATCTTGAGTTAAAAGTTGTAAATCACTAAAATTGTTTCGGAATCCTCTACAGTTCCATTGTATAATATGTGAAGACATTACGTTTTCGGAATCTTAATAGGGGACAAGCTGTGTGTCCTGTGGTGGCTGATGTCAGAAAAGTCCATATCCACAAGGGATCCAAACTTGTGAAACAACTGGATCTGATTGTCTGATTCTGTCGAGGGTCTGCCACTGTGATATTTCTTATATGTTCTAGGTTTGGGTTTGTTTTTTGTGATTTGTATTACATTTGTTTCAAATTGCGTTTAAGGATTTGACTGAGATAATGATTGGTCCTGGGATGTTGTTTGGGAACTGTTTCTAGAACAGTTGATAAGTCTGTAGATAGAGAAATATACTCCGATTCTGGTTTAGCCCGGGTATAGTCTGTCTGACATGCAACAGCTGTGCATGATACAGGATGTAAAACACGTTATGGGATAGGTTGTGTATTTTGCCGGGAAACAGCTGCAGAGTAGGAACTTAGTGAAGAATTTTCTTCGTCCAGAACACATCTTCTTCGCATCATGAAATAACATAAAACATGAACAGAACATCTCAACAATTTTGGGATTCACGTTTGGATCTTGGACAATCTTTGGAAGATCAAACATGTCTACTACTACAGTTCACACAAGAGCAATCCTTGTTAAATTGGTCTAGACAGTTGCCACCACATCGATGGCAAGCAGCCTGCTCATGACATGTTCTAGATCCATGGCCAAAATGTTGACACTTGCAGCATCTCGGTGGAAAGCCAAAAGTAAATATATAAGTGTTGGTCTTTGTAAACTCACCATTTCTCTTTGTAGAAAAGCCTTTTACAGCCATTACATTTTGGCTCTTTAGATCGTCTAAAATGTCATCCTCAGTCATGTCAGCAAGGAATCGGCCTCTGTCTCGCACAATTCCCTTACTGCTGTTCAGGGGCCTATGCGGGGAAACAACAACAGGAAGATGGAACTGCTTAATCTTTTTGCATCTTCGACATCACCAGCCATGCCTTGTATAGCCTTTTCAACCGCAAATGGATTAAGCTTCAGAGTAATGTCATCCAAAGAAGAATCAACCAGGGTCTAGACCAATTTTCGAAAGTAACAGGAAACGTCCGCGGATTATGATCTTCAGTATCATGTGATTCATGAGAACCTTTTTTGACATTGGGGATTGGGGATTCCATGTTGCTTGTAAGTGTATTTCATCCTCTTGGGTCCCCACCCACCATGGAGTGTCAACAAGGACAATGTCATATGCCTGTGGGCCTCCGACAGGCGATACCAAGAGGGTATACTCAAGCAGAAACATCATAAACATGTTCCACAAGATTGACCCATGAGCCACCGCCTTCTGGGCATTGGGACTGTAGGCAAGTATAGAAATGTTTCAGTAATAGTTAAAAACACATTTCAAATGTGTGCGTTTATAAATGTATAATAAAATAATGTGTTGTTCAGGGTGAAATAAAGTCAAAAGTTAAACAAACATTTTTTTAAATATAAAGTTGACGAGAGGTCGGTCACATGACTGCGAAATTGTCGAATGACACAATTTGACGTTCATACGTTTTTCACGAGAAACAAAGTGAACCCTGCGGACTACTTCCACATTCCTTGGGAATCCCTGGGAATTCCCTAGCACTAATACACACGGAAGCAATCTTTCTGAACATTTTGACCCTTTCATTTCATTTTGAACATTTCAATAGACTGGTACCACAACGGTGCCGGGAAATGTATTTCACCTCTCCTAAAATGCTGTTGATAGCTTTGGAGACAGTGATTGTGACAAGGATGTTCAATTCTAACGTCACATCAGCATTATTTCAGCCAAATAGCGACGAGGCCAAGTTGATATATCCACAAGCGAATCATTAATGCAAAGTTACATTTAAAAACAAATTCTTTCAAACACACTTGGGCACAACAATATCATTCATACATTCCAAAACACGACCACAGACCACCAGCAACCACAGCCAGACCACCTCCCTAGGGACCATACCCGTGAAGATCCGGGGTAGAATAGGTCTTC